TGCCAAGAACCTACAACCAAGATTACTTTATCCAGCAAAGCTATCATTCAGAAGTGAAGGTCAGATAAAGAGCTTCACAGATAAGGAAAAGCTAAAGGAGTTCATCACCACCAAACCAGGATTATATGAAATGCTGAAAGGTATCCTATAAGAAGAGGAAGAGGAAGAAAAAGGTAAAGATACAAATTATGAACAACAAATACGCATCTATCAACAAGTGAATCTAAGAATCAAGTGAATAAATAATCTGATGAACAGAATGTACTGGTGATTATAATAGAATCAGGGACATAGAAAGGGAATGGACTGACTATTCTTGTGGGGGAAAGGGGTGTGGGAGATGCGGGAAGATACTGGACAAAAATCGTGCACCTATGGATGAGGACAGTGGGTGGGGAGTGAGGGCAGGGGTGGGGTGGGAACTGGGAGGAGGGGAATTTTTTGGGGGGAAAAAGAGGAACAAATGTAATAATCTGAACAATAAAGATTTAATATTAATCAAAAAATATATTTCTTCTAATTAATTTCCTTTCAATGTGCATGAATGTGTGCACCGGGCCACTAGTACCTAATAAAGGGCTTGTATCCAAAACATAAAAACAACTCTCAAAAATCATTAATGAGCAAATGAACAACAGTTTAAAATAAAATGGGCAATAGATCAGATACTCTACCCAAGATACAGGAACGGCACATAGAAATCACATGAAAAGATGCTAAACATCATTAGTTATTAGGGAAATGCAAATTGAAACCCTATGCGTCTTACCTGACATTCCCCACCCAATATATACAAACTTCCTGCCTGGGCCCACTCTGAACTCACCTCTTCCCTCAAAGCCTTGTGCCTTTTTGGTGTGCACTGTGTTCAGTGTACCTAGAACACCCTTTTACAATTTGTTTCTGCAAATAACTTTTACTAAATCCTGCAAAAGAGCACAAGCAATAGCCTCTCCAAACTCTTCCAACAACCCCCATTCCACCTCATCTGACTTACAAGTTTCTTCATTCCTACACTTAAATTTACTGAGATCCAACTAATTGCTAGGAAATAAAAGGTGTTGGTGGAAAACACACACACACACCGAAAAAAGTGTCTGACTAAACTGGTAATGTCATATAAACCAGTAACTCTATGGTCATAGCAGAATGTCAATTTCAGTTATTTCTTTGATATTTAGCGTATACCTACAATATGCCCGGCATAAAGTAAGCTTCGAAAGTATAAATAAGATTCAGTCATTGCCTTCATAGCACTTACAATCTAATTAGAGATTAGGACAAGAAAACCAGTAATCACAGCATATAAGAGAAGTATAAATAAGCTAATAAATAAATGACAAATAACCTAGACTTAGGAGGCTCAGGCAGGATGAGAAATAAGAAAGACTTAACCAGAGTGACATAAGCTGAGACCTGAAGAATGGCAACTTTAACTAGAAGATATATAGTCTATACAAAGAGCAGAAATTCAGAGCATGGCTATAACCCAGATCAGATAGTAGAAGCTGGTGTTGAGAGACAAGAGTAGAGATCAGATCATAAAGGGTTTTATAAGCCATTCTCAAGAATTAGGGAGTTTGTAATTTACCCAGAGATAATCTTTGCCACTAAAGAGTCATTAGACTCTTGGGAATGCCATAGTCCAGCCGTGGGCAAACTACGGCCCACAGGCCGGATCCGGCCCGTTTGAAATGAGTAAAACTAAAAAAAAAAAAGACCGTACCCTTTTATGTAATGATGTTTACTTTGAATTTATATTAGTTCACACAAACACTCCATCCATGCTTTTGTTCCAGCCCTCCGGTCCAGTTTAAGAACCCATTGTGGCCCTCGAGTCAAAAAGTTTGCCCACCCCTGCCATAGTCAGTCAGACTTGCCTTTTTCTAATACTCTGGCTGCAAAACCAAAAATAAACAGCTGCAGTAATCCAGGTGGGAGAGAATCATGGTGGCTTGAACTAAGGCAGCAGCAGTGGGGATGAGGAAAGGCAGATGACCTAGAAAGTTATTTAAAAAGGTAAAATATTAGGACTACATGACTGATCAGATGTGGGAGGTGAAGAAGAGTCAAGGACAAAACTGAGTAGATGAGGTTACTCACTGAGATAAGTAGGGTATACAGAAGTAAATGATGAGTGTTCTTTAGGACATGTTAATCAGTAATGATTGTGGAACTGAAGAAATG